CAAGATATCGAACATACATCACAAGATTTCGAATATACATCACAAGATTATCAAACATACATCACAAGATTTCGAATATACATCACAAGATTTCGAACATACATCACAAGATTATAGAATATACATCACAAGTTTAAGAATATACATCACAAGATATTGAATATACATCACAAGATTTTGAACATACATCACAAGATTTTGAATATACATCACAAGATTTCGAACATACATCACAAGATTTTGAATATACATCACAAGATTTTGAATATACATCACAAGATTTCGAACATACATCACAAGATTTTGAATATACATCACAAGATTTTGAATATACATCACAAGATTTCGAACATACATCACAAGATTTTGAATATACATCACAAGATTATCGAATATTGCAACGTTTGACATGCCATACACACAGGTTCCAAAAGGATAATGAAACTACTGATAATACTTTTAAAGGATCTGTAACATTCTCAAACTTCGAATTATTTCTTCAATGGAAATGACAGAAGGTCGTGAGGTTTTTATCTCGGCCGCGAACGTCCTAAAAATGGGGAGGAACTGTTCCTCGGCACTTTGGCGTGAAAGTTGTGGGCCCATCGGATAAAACCTTAAAAACCGAGGCCCCGTGTTACGACAGGCATAAAGATTCCTCACTCCTAAATGACCTTGAGTTTTAAGTAAAGGCCAAAATTCGAAGCCCTTTGGTGCTATAAGGAGACGTCTCTATATGAGTGAAAAATTCTCGGATGGGACGTAAAACAACATACAATTAGTCAAACAATAGAACTGAAAAAGCTCGACGGTAAACTTTTAATTCAGACTTAATTAATATCTATATTTTAATTACAAATTTTAATTACATTCAGGGTCAATGAGCCTCCATGTTTATATACCATTTCTGCGCTGACATCTCTCCACTAGCTCCCACATTCTGTTTGCTGCTGTCTGACAGTTGGCCCCAATCAGTTTGTAGGGTTCCGTTATAAGGGCATTCTGCATGAACGTATTCACAGTATAATCACAGTCAAGCCACTGTGAATACTTGATCATATTCCAACTGTTAATAGAGTACAACTATTAGTAACAGCCTGAATTTTCTTGCCTTGCTCGTAGTTTATTAGACAACAATGGTGAACCTCAAACTAAAACATTGCACAATTATTTACGACATCTTAAAAAATTGAGGGCCTAATAATAAAGAGCAATTTTTTTTATGTGAAACGTCAAAGCATTATTGTATTATATGTTATAAAATTTGTTTTTAATGACAATAAAAATTCAGAAATCAAAATTTACAACATGTTGTTCAGGAAACCCAAATATTAGTGTATTCCTGGGATCATCCACACCCAATAAGAAACACATTCCCACGAGCATGATTCAATCGTTTAGATATAGGTCCATTTTATATATTGGAGCTACCCACAAAATTATAAGTCCTCGCAAACCAGGATAATTTTTATTTACCATTGACCATGTTGACTCCCACGAATGAAATTACTAGTATTCCACAGTACATGAATGCATTTCTTTTCTAAACAAATGAATTAAGTCTTTTATATACAAAGACACCTATTTTAAAGATTTCACTTGAAATATTAACCTTGAACTCATGTAATCAGCATCTGTAATGACTGTGTCGGAAGCATCGCCGTAATTAGACCCCTTGTGTATCAACCATCGTTCCCAGTTTTCCAGGGTAACGACAATTCCCGCGTGACGAGGGTAATAGTCAAAGCTTCGCTTCCTCCCCAAAATCGATCCGCCCCCTCCACTAGATATTCCCAAACTGCCCGAACTTCCGGATACACCTAATGGTCTGAATGAAATAATAAAGATATACAAACATGCGTAATGATGTGGAAAATTTATTTCATATCATCCTGATTTGTCCTTTCCACAAAACTTCTCTTACCAAATTGATATCTTTGATGCAGACCTACAGTAAGTTTGCTAAAAATTTGAATTCTTGTTCACAGATGATTGCTTCTAGCTGCGATCTTAGTAACGACAAGCAATTGCTGCAAATTTGCAGGAACTTAAAACCTTCGCAGGAGCATTGCAAGAAGCAAACATGACAATCTGTTCCTCGCAGCAAATTCGCAGGAAACATTTTACAAATTGAAGGTTTGCAGGAATGTCGCAAGAAGTCTATCGCGGAATTTTCAATGGACTCGCCAATTCACATTATTACGAAACTTCCCTCTCAGTTTTTGTGATGTTGCATTTGCAGGTTCTAATATTTCTATTTTTACACTGATGCCGAATGAAACCCTGATGAAATAAGAACTGTAGACACGTCTTCTTCTCAAACACGTATTAGAATCATTGCAAGATAATGGCCCTCAAAAAATTATTTTCAAATGAAAGTATGAAGTAATTTGTCTCTGTACGTGTATTATATGGCTTTAAGACATAATTAAAGGGAAATTTTAAACCCATTAAAAAACTACAAAGAAACATTATGTTATTGAAATTTACTTACCTTACGTAGTAATCAGCAAAGATAACTTTGGAATTGTACAGACTTGTTAAGCACGATTGAGCTGTGCAATCTTTGGACGACGTTTGTAGAACAAACATCAGTGTTAAAACTATGAAAAAATGGATTTTTGCCATTCTGCTACTAAAAAAAATATTGAAAAAATGTTGTTTGAACTTCTACGTGAGGCTGATATTGGTATTCATTGATGCATTATTTTTTTTATTCTGAATGCATATAAAGAAGACTGGATTTTTTTCATGGTGACTTGTAAGTTATAAGAAGCTAGATAATTTTTAACATTAATAAGATAGAAAAAATAGTTATATTTTCAAATACTTACATTTTGTCATCTATCTATTCAAAGTTACCTGTTCATTTCTCAAGTGTTCCAGTATTCGAATTACGCAATAGGTAACAGTTCTAAATTTTATGTGACACATTTACTAGTGCTTATCACAAAAATTTGTGGACTAGTGCGATGAAATAAATATTATGTAGCTTATCAGTATTGTAAAATACTAAAAAAAAATTAGAAGTTTTGGAAACTTTATTTCTTCGAACTCTAAATATAAAATAAAACGTTCTGTAGGCAAATAAATCATCAAATTTGTATCTCGATGAAACAGACTTTTGCCACTTGCAATAATATTCTTATACGCATGAGGTAGTTGACCAACATCTAATTATGTGAATCTTTGATTCCTTCGTCCTGAATATGTCAATTCTTCGTACGAGTACCTAATATTAATATTATAAAGTATATTTGATGAATATTGAAACTAGAGGTACCGTGAGCGCTGGGCTACCTAAATGATACCCTGGTCTCCCATATGATTATAATGCCAAAGTCCATGCTTTGCTCTGTGAGTAACTGTGTATAATTTAATTGCAAAAGCTCAAAGGCTTCTCGAGATATCGAGTGGAAACGACAGTGTTACAGACAGCTAGACGTACAGACAGACGGACGGGCAGACAGCTAGACGTACAGACTGACGGACGGGCAGCTAGCTAGACGTACAGACAGCTAGACGTACAAACAGACGGACAGACGGAAAGCTAGACGTACAGAATGACGGACGGACAGATAGCTAGACGTACAGACAGACGGTCGGACAGACAGCTAGACGTACAGACAGACGTACAGACAGACAGCTAGACGTACAGACAGACGGACAGACGGAAAGCCAGACGTACAGACTGACGGACGGGAGATAGCTAGAGGTACAGCTAGACGGACAGACAGATAGCTAGACGTACAGACAGACGTACAGACAGATAGCTAGACGTACAGACAGACGGACGGACAGACAGCTAGACAGACAGACAGCTAGACAGACAGACAGCTAGACGTACAGACAGACGGACAGACGGAAAGCTAGACGTACAGACTGACGGACGGGCAGATAGCTAGAGGTACAGCTAGACGGACAGACAGATAGCTAGACGTACAGACTGACGGACGGGCAGATAGCTAGAGGTACAGCTAGACGGACAGACAGACAGCTAGACGTACAGACTGACGGACGGGCAGAAAGCTAGACGTAGAGACTGACGGACAGACAGACAGCTAGACGTACAGACTGACGGACGGGCAGAAAGCTAGACGTAAAGACTGACGGACGGGCAGATAGCTAGAGGAACAGCTAGACGGACAGACAGAAAGCTAGACGTACAGACTGACGGACGGGCAGATAGCTAGACGTACAGACTGACGGACGGGCAGACTGCTAGACGTACAGACGGACGGGCAGACAGGCCGAAATTAATACCCCACCTTCAGCTTGGGACAAAAAGATCAAAAATTTATAAGTATTCAGTTTCATAACAAAAGCTTTATTATCGTGTCACAATTATGATTTTCTTCCTAAAATTAAGACACGCTTGGCAATTTAATATACATGTATTATTTAAAGACCAAGGGATTACGTACAAATATATGTACATATGTGATTCATAAAGTCAAGTCGGGAGAGTGGATCAAAAGTTTAAAATCCAAACGTATTAATCAGTGTGTTAATCTGTGGTGGCTGTTGTCCAATTAGAACAAGAAATCATTACTGAAACACGTTGCACAATGCAATCTAGTTAACATTTCAACTGCATTTAATTATTTGTTGCCGTTAACATGCAGCTTTTTCTTCTGAACTGTGCATAATTTTGTGGAAGTGACGTTTTTCAGTCTTTCATAATTTTCATGGATATAAAATCGAAATTTGTTTAAAGTTCTAAAGGTCGATGTGATTCAAAATTATAGAATCAACACGGAAAATTGGGAACCTATTTTTTGGCTCCAATTTTGGACTGTGTTAAATCAGATGACCTGAAATAAAAAAGAGGAGTCGTTATTTTCAGAACAAGCATCTTTTTTTAGGTAGAGTATGGGAAACAGTAAATCATCACCAAGAACCCCTCGAGCTATCCAGATAAAGGTTAATGCTGTGAAGGAATTTTCCACTGAACACAACTCCAATTCTAATGAGACTGAAAAAGAGGCAAATAGAAATGAAAACGAGATCAAGCAGCCGGATAGGTCTAAATCACGCGTTATGGAAAAAATTCCCGAGGAGCAAGTCAACAACTTGGATGATTCTGGTGTTGATATGTCAGATAATTTCACTTCCGCTTCTAGGACGGAGTTTGTGCGTAAAGATTTCGAGTCAAGGTGTGAAAGCGTTGCTAAAGAGATACGTTTACTTTCCGTGACACCAAGCCATGCAATGACACCAAGTATAGATCGTGTAAGCCAAAAATATCGTAAGAACAGTGATCAAGACGCCATGATGTGTTCAACGTCTCCAGACGATGACGTTCATGTACATCATGACGCAATTACACCGGAAGTAGAAATAAATGACAATATAGTTAAGCTAGAAAAACAAGCCACAATGACAGACATTGGCTTTATTGATCAAAATGGAAACCGTGCCGAGGAGGAGAAATCAACACTTCCACAAGTTACAGTCTTATTTGAAAAGCATTGGTCGGCGTCGTCACCAGATGACGTCATTCCTTGTTGGATTCACGGGATTACAACACTGTCAGACGGATGTGTGCTAATTTTAGACCTGAATAATAATGCCCTTAAGTTATTTGACGAAAACCAGGAATTTGTTTGCTCGAAGTCCGTTTCTGAGGAGTGTATCGGAATCAGCTCTGTTTACAGTAATGAGGTGGCTATCACTTGTGGAAATGAGGTTCACTTTTATTTCGTGGATAAAACTGGATTTGTGTTACAACAGCGATGTTTCAAGCTCAATGGCCAGGGCTTTGGAATCTGTTTCGCTCATAAAAACTACGCTGTTACTTGTGACATTCATAAAACCAGTGGAAATGTCAGAATTCTAAATGAGAGAGGGAAACAGCGCTACGTCATCAAGAGCTGCAAGGTGTTCGGAGCACTCATAAAAATGTCCAAGTTCGTGCAAATCGATCCTTCGTTGGATGTTGTTTATATTTCTGACGCTGAAAATGGCCGCATCGTGAGTTTTACATTTGACGGTCAGGCTCTCTGGCATCATGAAGTCGGAGATGAACCAAAGGCATTAATTTCCTTCAGCAGTTACCTTCTCGTAGCTGACTTTCGGAAGCATCTGATACTGCAAGTGAGTTCCGATGGACGAGAGTCTCGTGTTATTTTGACTGATGAGGACGAGATTTGGAGCCCTGATTATGTTACCCATAACTTAAAAACAAAACAAATGTTCATAAATACTCCAGATAATGTTTTAGTGTTCAAAATTTTATGATTAAAAATGTTAATATTGAATCTAAATTGTTTCTGTTCTTTTCTCTTATAATTGATGGTTCTGGTTTTGTAGAATCAGTACCACCACGTACACCATCTACAGTTGATCTGTAATATGTTATACTGTGAGCACTGTCAAAAAGAATATTTTATGAAATAGTCTAAACGTTATATTCTCGACACAGTGTAAAATTAAATACAGTTAATCGTATACTAGCATAGCAAAAAGATTGTCATAAATCTTGTCTGTTTTAAAATTTGGTACACTCTCGCAGGATGGGAAGGGTGGGTCCACAGCAGTGAATAATCATTTTACATACACATATATATGGAGTAGGTTACCAGCTCTTTCTGTCCCTCTTCATCCTTATCTGCAAGGGGGAATGCCTTTCCTGCCAATGACCTTGGGGGGGGGGGTAGACCTAATCGGCAGAAAATAATTCCCACCTCGATCCCACGTTGACTCTCCACCGACCAACATGGGCTGTAAAACGTTATTGTAGCGATCGGAATAAAATGTTTTAGCTATATAACTAGAGATAGGCTGTGAGCACTGAGTCTACAAAATGATACCCCGACCGCTTCCCCGATATGATTAATATTATTATTGATAACGGCAAGTTCAATGTTTTGTCATGGGAGACCCTAAATAAATTACATGTAGGAGGTGCACAATGGTACTATTGTGTACGATTATATAACAACGAAATTTCATTCAGTATATAAAAGGACTTGCAGTGGTGTCCAATCCCCTTTAAATGTTGTCAATAAAATATGTTCAAAACAATATGGTGTCCCCAAAGCGTAACGGACGGACATACAGACACACGGTTTTTTTCTGCATCACTTTATTTTGGCCACTAATTAATGGCACAAGAACATATGACCAAGCAAGGGATGGAAATACCAATATAGCTATATAAGTTTATAAACTGAGAGCATAGGCGTCGGAAGCAAACTGAAAGTGGGGGGGGGGGGGCTAATTGAAAGTGGGCCGGGGCTAAACCAACAAAAAAAATGTTAACCCCAATTTTCAATGCCTATATAATGTCTATCTTAAGTTTGCAAAAAAAGGGGGCTAAGCCCTCCCCCTCCTTGTTCCGACGCCTATGGGGAGTTGAATTCAACTTATGAATTGTACGAGGGTTGATCCAAAAGTAATGTCACAGTGTCCATATCTTTTATATTTGGCGTCATATTATCAAAAACAATATGCAAAAGATGCACAGATATAAATCTAATTAATACTGAAATTTTAATTTAATAATGTTTATTTTAATTTATGTCATATATGTTTAAAACATAGAGCATAGGGGATGTCGCCGCGTCACAACGGAACGTCACGTTTTTAAGTGTATCTTTTTTTAGAATGAAAAAGACAAACACATTAAAAAGATTCTTTAAAAAAACACTTAATCTCCCATTTTTTTAAAAGACACAATTCTCGTCATTTTCTAGTCTTTAATTGAAAATTTAATGACGGCATTGGTATTTGTGATCTTAAACATTGTTGATTTACTCTGTTGAATTGAACAAAGGGATAGTCGAAATGGGAGAAACGGCTCGACGAGTTGTAATTGCATTTGTTGCTTAAAATTAAGAGATATCTTAATAGATCACTGTAGATGGTTTCAGCAATTTTGGTTGGTGATTGGTCACTGAATGATCATCAGAGGACAAAAAGACCAAAAGATAAGAGATCGGACGGAAACAATTTGACAGGGCTTAGTTATGAAACGGGTGAGTGTATAATGGTACCAAGAACTCTTTTAAAAAGTGGAACTGGTGAAAGTGTTTACGAATCACAAATATTGTTTTTAATAAAACGATAGGGGAACGCTTAAAAGTACATGTATGAGGGTGCGTATCCGTCATATGACGTTATATTTAGGTGCGGCGACTACCATAAACGCACATTGTTTAAAATCTGATATTTTGGAAAGTATTTATCATATTCCTTTGAATTTTTCAGGTCTGACTTGAAATACATGTAAGTAAAGCTTCCATCATGTACAATGTTTTTGCTTTACGTTGATATATAGCAATTTTGTGACATTACTTTTGGAACAACCCTCGTAATTACTGTTTAAAAACAGATAAAGTGCATAGCTCGCTTTCAAAAGGCATAAATCATTTATGATAAAAGCTTTCGCGTGATAAATTGTCTCTGCAAAAAAAATATCCTGTGATAAAATAGTCTTGGTTTTCTTGGAAGATATGAATAAGAACCTAATTTTAAACCTCCAGACAGTAGAGGACGAAAGGGAAAGGTTTTCTCTTGCAAGGTAAATCGTAAAATATAATGCTGTTTGATGACAAATTTAAAAAAAATTAGATTTTTATGAAGCAGTGTAGGAAAATAAATAGTTTAGTATGTTATATTGTTTTGTAGTCAAAGTCTTTACTAAATATGTTTTTATATCATATTGTTAATTACTAGAAATCAGTTGACTTCTATCTGTTTCTTTTTGTATTCTACATATCTGTATGAAAGAAAAAAATAGTTATTGATACATTAATATTTATATACTTATAGATGTTTTAGTATATGCGCATCTAAGGACTCGCTATATACAGGAAATGTTTTTCAGGTGAACGATGCAGAAAAAAGTGACACGACAATCTCTCTAAATAGATTTACGCGCACCTATATGTGTGTTGTATGCGATTAATATACATGTTACATCATACATTTATTTAAGGAATCATTGTCTAGTTTTGAGAGTATCCAGGGCATCAACAATAGTGGGAAACATGGGATAATTTGCATAACGGGCGAAGCCCGTTATGCTAAAATTATCCCATGTTTCCCACTATTGTTGATGTCCCTGGCATACTCTCAAAACTAGACAGTGATTCCTTATATTTCCATTTCATTGTGAAATAAAATTGTAGACTTAGACATTAAGAATGTAGACTAATCGATTTAAATTACACGAGGACTTCCATGCCAATTTCAATAGTCCTCGCACACTGACGTCAAACACAAAGGTAGCCGCACGAGATTTACATGCATATTTGGCCTCCTTAGCGTCAGACACAGAGACAGATGCGCACGAGATTTGCATGCGTATTTGGCTTCCTTAGCTGCTGACCTATCGACCTGCCTAATTTACATTTCGGCAGAATTATCAGGAAATCAACTCCGCTTACTTTCAAAGGGTTATTATAGAGAAAAAAATTAGAAATGGAAATATTAATATGTCACTGACTAAACACTCTTTAAAAAAAAAACAAGAGGCCCATGGGCCTTATAGGTCACCTGAGCATTATGCAACAACTTTCCAGTGATTGAATTTGATTCATGTTTTAACAATTAAGCCAGATGCTATGGCATTCACAATTTTGAAAGAGGCACCATTGATCATCATAACAATACATTAGCAGTTTCTTAGTTTGTTTACTTAATACCCATATGCAGGGTAAGGGAACAAAAAATGCATTTCAACTAATCAGTAATACCGTATAATCCCTGTTACTGTAACCGCCCCGGGCGCTTAGAAAATTATGAAAAGGGGGCGGTTATTTTGGTATTCTCTTAGTAATATTTCATATCATATTTTAACTTCAAAAATATTTTGGAAAAAGAAAATAAATTCAAAGAATCTCCAAAATAAAGAAGATCATCCACCCAGAGTGTGCTAAATGAATCATTTTTCATCAAGAAATTTGATAATAAACAAGTTTCATTTTCAATTCATTCAAATTTTTGCAGACTTTTGATACGATACTAGTCTTTCTAGATAATTTTAATCACTGAACAGGGGGCCCTTATTTCCAGACAATTGAAAAATACCTAAGGGGGCGCTTATAGGGGCAGTTAATAGGGATTATACGGTATTCAGCAATAATCAGTAGTGCCCCTACCACACATGAACCCCTGACCCTTAGGCCTTGATATTTGATTAATACAAAGGGGCAGATTTCAAACCATTCATTCATTTTCAGTATATAAGTACAGCCCCCCCCCCTTCTATGGTACCCCTGACCCTGGGGCCTTGAAATTCACAATTCTGGAAGATATGGGCCCTTGTCCAGCATAACTATATAGGTAGTTCATCTGCTTAATACCCTGGAGCAGAGAAGAAAATTTTCAAAGATTTAATGTATTTTCACTATATAATCAATAGAGCCCCGCCCTAACACTAGAACCCCTGCCCTGGGACTATAAAATTCACAATTTTGGAAGAGGCATTCTTGCTCATTATAACTATGTAGTTAGTTAGTTTATTTAATTCCTAGGAACAGAGAAGAAGATTTTCAAAGAATTCATGTATTTTCACTATATAATCAATACGTCCCACCCTAACACCAGAACCCCTGACCCTGGGGCCATAAAATTCATTATTTTGGCAGAGGCACTCTTGCTCATCATAACTATGCACTTCGTTAGTTTATTTAATACCCAAGAGCAGAAAAGATGATTTTCAAGGAATTCATGTATTTTCACTATATAATCTATAGAGCCCCGCCCTAGCACCAGAACCCCTGACCCTTGGGCCATAAAATTCACAATTTTGGTAGTGGCACTCTTGCTCATCATAACTATGCACTTAGTTAGTTTATTTAATACCCAGGAGCAGAGAAGAAGATTTTCAGAGAATTCATGTATTTTCACTATATAATCTATAGAGCCCCGCCCTAACACTAGAACCCCTGGCCCTGGGGCCATAAAATTCATAATTTTGGCAGAGGCATTCTTGCTCATCATAACTATGTACTTAGTTGGTTTATTTAATACATAGGAGCAGAGAAGAAGATTTTCAAAGAATTCCTGTATTTTCCCTATATAATCAATACAGCCCCGCCCTAACACCAGAACCCCTGACCCTGGGGCCATAAAATTCACAATTTTGGTAGAAGCACTCTTGCTCATCATAACTATGCACTTAGTTAGTTTACTTAATACCCAGGAGCAGAGAAGAAGATTTTCAAAGAATTCATGTATTTTCACTATATAATCAATAGAGCCCCGCCCTAACACCAGAACCCCTGACCCTTGGGCCATAAAATTCACAATTTTGGTAGTGGCACTCTTGCTCATCATAACTATGTGCTTAGTTGGTTTATTTAATACCCAAGAGCAGAGAAGAAGATTTTCAAAGAAATAATGCATTTTCACTACCTACTTATTTAGCCCCGCCCTAGCACTAGAACCCCTGACCCTGGGGCCATGAATTTCACAATTTTGGTAGAGGACTCATTGCTGATTACAATCATGCAAACAGTTTGACTGCTTGATGTCCAGGAGTAAAGAAGAAGATTTTTAAAGATTGCATTAATTTTAGTGGTTTTGGCCCCACCCCTCAGGCCCCAGGGGGGCAGGGATCATAAAATTCATAATCTTTGTTCCCCTTCACCCATAGTTGCTTTAGGCCAAATTTGGTTGAAATTGGTTCAGTGGTTGCAGAGAAGAAGCTGAAAATGTTCAAATGTTAACGCACAACGCACGACGCACGACGACGGATGAAAACAGATAGCAATAGGTCACCTGAGTTTACTCAGGTGACCTAAAAAGCTTTTGAGTTTCAGTCTTCGTAGCGAAGATTTAAATTTTATTAAAAAAAAAATTATATTCTTATGCATGATATTTTTCTCCTCAAATTTAATTTCAACAGAATCAACATGGCATCCAAAAGATTTAAACTTTGTCACATTTTTATTTACCTAATTAAGCTCCCATTTTATATAATGAGGGATCTTGTCATCATAACCCCCTCCCCCAATAATAATGATAATAAAATGGCCGACCCCTCCGAGATCTCTTGCATATATTAATTGTATTCTTTTAAAGTAGAGAAAAAAAATGAAAAGACTCAATACAATATTTTACATCACTAGGTGTGGTACCGGTGAAAAATGAAGTGGACAGTTGTTGGAGTGTTGATTACTCTTCTGGTATAATAGCGACATACTCGAGGCGGAAAATTGCAATGAATTAATTTAATAAAATTTTCCTAAGTTTATTGATAAAAAGTATATTTCTATGATTCAGAAAAGGTGTAAAATCATAGTCCTCTAGCTAAGATAAAGAAAAATGCCTTACAACATAATTTTTCAATCATGCTAGAAAATGAAGAGTCTCAGTTAATTTCAAAGATATATTTTTTAAAAGACGATTATTTATAATTGTTGTAGCTTATTTCTCTTGTTTGTGGAGAACAAGATAGCCAGCAGACGATCCACGATCATTTACAATCGGAACACCTCATCTCTATCCAACGTACGTCAAGCAGGAAAGACTCATCTGGTATACGAAGGCAGCGGGGACGTCACTGACCAATCAGGGGAGACCCCTGTCTACAAGGTCACCCGACCTCCTCCGTCTTCCAAACCCACCAAAGGAGGAATAAAAAGTAAAACTCGACACAAGTGTAGTCCTAACTACAAAATGTCTTCCCCAGTTAACGAGGATGCATGATGACCTGGGATTTCCAGGTCTAAGCAGTGCAAGAATTGTCCATTAACAGCGTTGTAAAATTTCTGCAGTTGTAAAAATTATAACAAAATTGTCTCAATTCTCCATCAAAAATTATTTCTTTAAAGTTTCTGTAATAAACAAAGATTCGAAATTACTTTTTTGTGTTCATATTTGTGTCATACAACACTGGCTGCATCACATAATTTTTTTGTTTTGGAAACATGGCGTCGGAAGAAAAGTGAAAGTTGGGGGGGGGGGGGGGGGCTAAGTGTAAGAGAAAAAAATTCCAACGTGCAAAAAATCTTGACAAGCAAAAAAAAAGGGGGGTATGCCTTGAAAAACCTATTAAGATTTTAAGGGTTCAAGATCAAACTTTTTAAGTACCAATTTCTTTCCAAAACACTATCAATTGCACTTTTTAGATCTTAACTGAAACACACTTGTTGAAAATGGGGGGGGGGGGGGGGGCAAACTTACAGTACATTCAAATGTGCAATGTCTATATTTCTGCAAAAAAAAGGGGGGCTAAGACCCCCCCGCCCCGGTTCCGACGTCTATGATTTTATCACCAATTTCACCAAATTAAATGAAAATGCCATCCCTCATAGACATATTTACATATCTCTTATTTCGCTAGAAAAAGCACTAGTCCTCCACTGAAATATTCCACCAGTACTAGTAGATTGTAAACCGGATTTATCCTCTCCTATCATACGGTTCATGAAATTATAACCTAATATTTGAATCTTTTAAACGCTTCACAGTACGAGAATACTCCATTACATTTTTAGAGCTTTACTAATCACGATGAAAAAATAAGACATATGACAAGTTAACAGAAGATTCAGTGAAATTGGTGAAAATCAATAAATATGCAACAGTTTAGGAGCAATATATGTCTTTTAAATACTGTCTTGAGAAAAGGGAGCCACCATGACATCTTAAGTCAGAAAATACAAATGACTGTGCGGGTATGTGGGTCAAATTTTGGGACAAGTACCGCCAGTGCATCGTTGAAGGGCTGTGCATCTGGACTATTTAACCAAAGTCCCATTCTAAACATTAGACCTTGCACACTTCATAGTGTAAGATGTTTACATGTCATAAATGGTGCTTACACATCCCAAGACACTGTTGCCTGCAAGAATCCATTTTCATCATTCTTGGATAGAATAAATAGCCATACTGTCAACATTAAGAAAAGACAATTTACAACTTCAGTGCTCTTGCTGTCTGAGAAAAAATTAACCGAAGACAAGAGTTCAGAGAACTTAACTAAAGAAGATATCTCAAACCAGGAGACGAACACAAACTCCGAAAATGTCGAAGCTCAACTTACACAACGACAGAAACTTAAGAGGGCGGTGAAAGAATACGGCCCAGTAGTCATTATTTTCCACATATGCATTGCGCTGATGTCCCTAGGATTCTTCTATTCCTTGGTGTCTGTCGGCGTGGATGTCGTTGGAATTCTCAGGAAGTTGGGCGTCTCTGAGGAGATTTTGGAATCGGCCCTTGCAGCAGGCGCCAGTACGTTTGTTATTGCTTATGCAGTACACAAGATGTTTGCTGTGCCACGTATTGGGATCACCTTGACCTGTGCCCCCATTATCGTTCGGAAGGTTGGAATTTTCAAGCCCCCAAAACCAACCATTAAAAAATAATGTGAGCAATGGGACTGTTGACTTTACATCGAAATTGATATGTGACTGTTTGATAATGATATTGAAAGAACTTAAAAAAAATAACTTGAAAAAAAAATAAGTAATTTATTTTTTATGATTATATTATTTATAAACTGTACATGACAAGTGTTGCGTAATATATGCCAAATATTATAATTGTCATTGCTAAGATTGAAGATCAAATCTTAAATTTAAAAAAAGATATCTCTCATGTTAATAATTCATTACAATCAAAATCAAAAAGAGCATATATAAGCAAAATATCTGTAATAGTTGATATCAAACTTTTGACTATTTTATTTCCTAAGGAAATATTTTCTTCAATTAAATAATTGAAGTTTACTGTACGTGTTGTAAGAGGTTGTATTCTATACACTGAATTCCAAATCAATTAAATAACAAATTATTTTATAAACATGATACAAGTAACTTATTTTGTACCCTGTCTACAGTCTATCTAAATCCAGGAACCCTTGGTGGTAAGATTTTTTTTATGAAAACACAAAAGAAAATCTTACCATCAAGATAAAAAGTTGACACCTCTATGTTATCTTTGTTTTATAAAGAATTAATTGTATTTACATGTACCTGGTACTAGTATTTTTTTAGATTAACTCGGGCAAACCCAATTATCTTAAACTTGATTGGAGCAAAAAAAAACAACTTTGAGCCATCCAGGGTATAATTTTTTAAAGAAAAAGTGAAGACTTTCAAATCACTGTCAAATCCATGACATTTGAGATAACAGCTTTTGAGCTCTACAAGTTCAACCAGGGTTTGACATTAAGCTTTTGGAATACTAGACCAGTCGGGCTACTCTGGCAAATTTTTACTAGCCCTGACCCTTTAACCACTAGCCCTGACCAAACTTGAGAAAAATATATAAAGTACAAAATACTTTAAAATTCTTTTTTTCTGTGCTGATGATGAGAATCCATATTTAAATACCGAAATTTTCCAGCACACACGTCACGTCAATACTAGGTCATATACATGTGGCTTGTTGTGTTTAGTCCTAATTTAATCAACTTGTATACAATATTAATATTGATACCATTAAAAATGTTCAAAGAGTTTAAGTATAGTAAAAAATTGATTTAATTATCTATTTACATGGTTTACCGATGTCATAAACGTAAATCTTTCGACAATGACAATTGTAACTACTCAGCCATTTCCGTGAATAATAAATAGCTTATTGTTTCTCTCTAGGAAAATGGTCGAGTAGTTACGAATGGCGACAATGAACTGTTGTTAAAAATAGTGCTATAGTCATGCTGTCTGGAACATATTTAGTTTTCTTTCTACTATGCGGTTGGGAATGTTTTAATTTTATTTTTTCATCGACAATAAATGAATTGTTTAAAAATGTATAATAAGTTCATTAATTTTCCTACACGACCAGTCGGTCCAGTACACAGAGATTTTACCCGACCGGACCCATCTTTTACAAGACTCAGTCGGTAGGACGTGCCTTAATGTCAAACCCTGTCAACTGTATTTTTGGTTGCCCTATTTTAGCTTAAATGCTTGTTGGAGGAATGGAAAATATTCCTCTTTGTGAAAAGTTGCAAACATCTCTTCACTTTAACACGAGGATGTGATATTTTATGTAGTTAAGTACATGTATCTTGCTTAATCAGTTTAAACAGTACATTTACAAGTTTTCTACAGATCTTTGTATAGTGCTTTAAGTGAGTGGATCATAGGATCTGAAATTCTGAATTTAAATCAGTAGGATTGTTTTTTCATCTTAACTTGCTATAAATATTTATCATATTATTGTCATTATATATTAGACAGTACAAACAATATTGTTTCTTATAAGGAAAACCATACTATGATGATAAAGTATGTTTCATCATATCTGTAAGAAGAAGAACAATAAAAGCGTTTTTTTTTATTAATCATTTACTTGCAAAATCATTGGTAAAAGACATCAAAAGTCAATATAATATACGAAATTCATGTAAGGGATTTATTTAAAAATATTGGTTCTAAAGAATGCCTTTTCTCAAGTTTTCTTCCCTGTTCAAGGAAAACTCTAGCTATCTACTTAGGAAGTATTAATATATCCTAGCTTCATCTACAAAACATTTTTTTACACAAAAAGCAACAATGTTGACATTACAGAATTCTCTCCCTTTCACTCCAGTTAATACTTTTGACTGCAATTCAAAGACACTCCAAAGTCAAATGAAATCCCACAATGCCATAGGTCTATAACCATGGAAATATCTTTCTGTAATCATGGGGGTATCTGTTTGTTACCATGGAGATAGGTTGCTGTTACTATGGAAAATTCTATTTATAACTATGGAGATAGTCAACATGGAGAAGTGTGTATCCATGGAGATAGCTTGCTGTAACCATGGAGATGTTTGTTTGTAACCATGGCTAATACTAAAGGAGATGGAATGTCAGGCAGTTTTTGGTTCCTTTGGTTTTTGACAAACAAACATGACACTGCTATATCTGTACTGAAGCATTGAGGCAGGGTTCTGTGTGTATGTTGTGGAGATGTCCGTTTCTTCTTTCTGTAATAACAACAGAAAAAAATGACAATGGGAATAAAAGGTCATTGGTTTTAATAATGAACTTGTCACATATATTTCTCAGTTATTTGAAAATAAAGTTTAAAAATGTCCTTTTGCAAAGGAGAGGCAGTTCTTTTTGGGTAACTGAAGTTTTATTTAAGTTCTTGCTCATATAAACATGGTCAAAGACTAAATTATAATACCTTAACACTACAGTTCTGCAATGAATTTTTGAGAGGTCTGAATTCCTTTTACACAAGAATTCTATTTGTACAGTGTCAAAAAAATGCCCCTCTGATTTTGGAAATAAGGGGTGGGGCATTTTAACATTCACATGTACGACAGGCAGATAGTTGAACCACAAGTTCATGCAAACTCTATCATCCAGCAATTTAAAAGTATCTGGTTTTTCTTTTCATAGAATACTATGGACACTTACCTGAATAACAAATCCAATCTTTTTGATAACTTTCTTCACTTCCTCATAGCTCAGTTCAATGGAAGTCTCATTTTCAATATCAGCATAGTGATAAAGCAAGGGACCTACAAAAATTGATTTAACTATGATTAATAATATTCAGTGGCATTTTATGACTACCTAATTTTTTTATTTAATCTGACTTACATTACCTAGCTCCTATGACATATTATTATGATACCTAGATCCATTACATTTACCTAGATCCTACCACATTTCATAACATTCTTCAGACCTTATTAGATTTTAATACATTAATTAGAACTTGTGAAATTTTATTACATTACCTAGATTGACCCAGTAACCTCCAGGTTTGAGTATATCATATATTGTCTCTATGTAAGCTATAACATTATGTGCTGTGTCAAGAAAGAATACTGTGGCCACACAGTCATATGCATCTGAAATTAAAATTACACAATTTTATGCTTGTTTATATGCCATTTCTATCAAATCCTGCTTTTAAATTATCTTCTTCTGCCTAAAAACATATCTAAACATAAGAAAAATTTCAAAACTATACTATTGTGGGTGGACAGAAAAACTATCGCTTCCTAAACAATGTGAAATTAGATTTTTGTGAAATTATCAATATGTAACCACTTTCAATGCATTCAAAAATTGATTTTCATTAATTTGAACTGAATTTAAAGATTATACAGGTATATTAATCCTCTTATTTTAAAATTTATTCACAACAACAAACAACTGAAAACATGGAACTGATTGTCAATTACCGGGAGTTTGGTACACCTCTAGAAAATCTCCTGCTGCCATGGAAAAATCAGAGGTAGGTGGAAGGTCACTAGGGTTAACATCTGGAAACTTGATTGGCTGGATCTGATCAGCTGACATTTTGTTGTTTGTCCATTGGTGTATCCAAGGATACAAGGTGAAACAATCAACTTCAGAGCATCTTAAGGGAAGAAGAATTGCACAAAGATATATTATATTTAGATTCAATACTCATTGTAAAAGTTCGAATTCGCAAAGAAAAATGGAAAAACTTTACAACAATTCTCATAAGGTGAACAACATCTCTAAATCGGAAAAATTCATCATAACCTGTCTTCACATTCCACAATGATCTTTATGTTCTGTAGATTCTTCATAAAAATTCTGAGATAAATTTATTCAAGTCCCCCCCCCCCCCAAAAAAAAAAAAAAAAAAAATTGGAAAATATCAGTAAATTATGATATTTTCTATTTTGGGGCACTTTAGCAATAAAAAAAGATTTGGTACATACAAAAGTGTGTAAATTCAACAGCACTGTTTTAAAAATGTGAGTGATTCTTTAACTCCTTGGATGAAATATTGAAATTTGGGAGAATTCATTTAACTTTATATGACAGGGAGTTTTGAGAATTCAGCAAAATCTATGCTGCAGAGACATTGGCTTAAGAAGACACTAGTATACTATTTGCTATGTCAACAATCTTTCACAATTTCTCTTTGTCCCTTACTTGTTTAAAACAAAGTTTGAGGCCAGCAACATAAAAAGACTCCATTCGTTTCCCTGACACCGATATCCACTCTTGGCAAACTCGAAGGCCAGTCTACCAAGTCCTGCTCCTGGCACTAGAATCCCCACTGTTGAAGGATCTCTGTAATATAAAATCAAAGTCATTGCAGTGGAAAGAAACGCCCCATTAAATGCCCCTCAAAATCTTCACCACTATTAAATTCAAAAATACTGTAGATCACTAAATTTTTGCAATTATACCATATTTTTTAATTTATATGAAGATGCATAGTTTAACTCCTCATAAAGTGAAGACACTCTAGACATTTACTCTTTAAATTATCAGCGAGACAATTTTTTTATGAGTTGACCATAATACTCTACATAAGCTTGAGGGATACTATTATATATGAGAATGATATTATCATTTCTGACTAGAACATTGTCTCGCATATTTTTGGGAAAATAATGATCTTGTGAATGAAAAACGATTAACAGTATTGTGAAGATCTGTAAAAGCTGTCCTAGCTGCAGAGGTCATGATTTAAGCAAACTTGTGTCTACAGTCATTTTGGATTATTTCACATGAAGTTTTGTCCTTATTAAATGGTGGATGTTAAGAAAGATTTTTTTTTTTTTGAGGGAGAAGGCTAAAATAGGCTGAGCCTGCTGCCAAATACTATTCACCTTAACATCTGTGAATAAAATATTTTTAAAATTAAAGATTTTTTTTAATGAACCATTCTTGTTTTCATTTTCTCTTCTACCTAAATAAATAATTGCATTAAAATTTAAATTACTGAATCTAATTATAGATACACACCTGTCAGCAAATATGTCCTTGACCTCAGCTATAACTGGGTCATAACACATCTTTCTCTCCTCTTCCCCTGTTGAGCTCCAGTCTCTTACAATCTGCTTTAAGGTCGTCTTGACCTTGTCCATGTCAAAGTTGGTGGGGGGCATTTGCTTGAGGTTTTCTTCTGGCTATTTTGAGTAATAAGAATAACACTTATTATTTACATGCTCAGTTTCAAGCTGCAAACAAAGCGAGCTCAATAGACTTAAATCTAAGAACAGAGTCTGTATTTTTATTCTGTGAAACCTTTCCAAAATTTCTTCTTTACCATGATTCCATGCAATAATAGTCAAGATACAGTCCCCAAGTTATCATGCAGTAAGATTTTATTCTTGTAGAGAGCTTAATTAAAACAAAATATAACTGCATCTTTTTTAAATGCCTTTCATTATAAAATTGGTCTACCTGTATCTAGACTTCTATGATGTCACAGTCTAGACATTTTCCCAAGTCAAGAGTTTCTGATCTGCTCTGCTCCACATAAACCCTTGACCGAATAGGCTAAGTTTGACGGGGTTTACTGTCACGCCATCTAGTGAGATTACACATTTTGAACTCTACTGACCTCTGCTTTTAGCCAATCAGAGTAAACGAATTCAACAAAGAATTCGAGATAATATTGGTAGTCGGTAATAAATTCAATATAACTCAACTAAAAAGCTGAGACAAACCTTTAACTGGGCTATTTAATGATAAAGACGTTATCCTTGGGACTAAAACTGACGTGTTTTTATGTTTACAATTTAGTTTCAGTTTAAATAAAACAATGATTTTCATTGGTTCATGCAAACTTGCATGAAGCCAATCAGAGAACGCATTTCTAACCCCGTCAAACTTAGCCTTTTTGGTCAAGGGTTTATGTGGAGTGGAGCGGATCAGAAACTCTTGACTTGGAAAGATGCAGTCTAGAATGTATCAACTAGTCAAGCAGTTTGAAGTTTGAATTTTTCAGCGTAAGCAATATAAAGGTTTCATATGGTATATGACTGCAGTCACCCCAATAGTAGCACTCTAGGGTTTCTCCCTATATTGACTATAATACCCAAGTGCGGTGATGGGGTAATAGAGACAACAATATGATAAAATGATCTGCTGTGTATTAGTGCCCGCAATTACAACATATGATATACAAGAATAACGTAGCTGACAGAGACATGTCTGTACTCTGCAGTGGGTAACAACAAAAGAGAGCAAGGATAGGTACACCTCACAGCATATACCATGTGATCAGAGGTAGCAGGGCAATCTGTGCTCTGCACCTCCAGGACCACTACACTGCCATAAAACATATTATAAGTATCAGTTTTAAAAGATACAAGAAAACAATGTTTATGTTAGTTGCTACAATCTTGAAATTACAAACCTTGTCATCAGCTTCATGTGTTTTGTTCTCAAACATACATTCGGCATCTTTAATAATAAGGCGAATTATTTCATAATTATGGGTGATGCACGTTTGTATAGTTTTTAGATTGTCCAGGAATTGTGGGATAAATTCCTGATGATGCTGGGGAAGACCATTGAAAGACTTTTCTGCCGTGTAAACTCGCCGCATGGAGTGACTTCTGTACAAGAGAAAAGATAACGGTAACTGGAAAAACCCGAAACCCCCCGATTTTTGGAGAATACCCATACAGGAGGGGGTGAAACCCCAATAAAGTGGTGGAAACCCCAAAAAATCGATTGTAATGGGGTACTATAAGGCCTAAGGTGATGTTTAATTGAATGATATTGACATCCGTAATTTTTTATAGCCAATTTTACCTCAGAATCGACGGGTTTCTTCTTGTCTTGATATACTGCACACCACGCCCGATCTAAATTCGCGATCGCTGAAGTCGTTTCGAGTAATCCGTGGAAATAATTACTGTAATCTTGATCAATATGAATATTATATTATGTATGAATATTATTTTTTAAAAAAATTATTTGTAAGGAAACCTTAAGAATATAAAAGAAGTATGAAATATTTATCATGTTGAAAGACATTACAGTGCAATGTTTAATTGAAATTTTTTTAATGAATTTAACTAGTCCATTAATCAAGAAATAAAGTCATTTTTATAAATTCCAATTATTTATAATATGTAATTAAATTAAATTGATTAATGAATGAATCTGTAAATGTAATTATCATAATGAAAGACATTACAGTGAAATTTTTAATTGAATGTTTTTTTTTTATGAATTTAACTAAACCATTAATCAAGGAATAAAGTAATTTTTCTCAATTCCAATCATTTATAACATGTAATTAAATTAAATTAACTAATAAATGAATTTGTTAATTTATTTAATTTTTAATTAAGGTGTTTGTTTTGAAATGTTTTCTTCTATGTTTAATAATTAATTTTTAAATTCAGTATTCATTCATTATTATTTTCCAGTTACTAATTTTTTGTTTTAATGTTGTTTTGTTTTAATGTTTTTGGTTCTGTTTTTTTTTTTTTTTTTTTGGGAGAGTGTGTTGTTTTTTTTTTTTTTTTTTTTTTATTGTTTTTTGTTTTTTTTTTTTATGCAAGTAATAGAAAAAAATATACTCATTGATATGAGAAAGCAACATGTATCCATTACAATGAAATTATTAGAATCCAGGTCTATGAAATAAAAAAAGTCTGATAAAAAAAAATAATAAAAATGTGCATGTTGCATATGTGAATCCTTGTACAGTTGGTATTGTAACATTATTGTGAGAATATTATTCACACCTCAGCTAGCTCTGTTGTTTTGTACTGGGATAGACAGGCACCCCTGTGTGTGTACATGCACTATATACACAGCTGTTGACACTTGGTCAACTTGATAATAAACACCTTTTGTTTAAACACCTGGGTTCCCAGCTAGTCTGACCAACCCCCCTCTGGCAGGGCATGTGTATATACATTGAACCTTTACTATTCTCAATTGTACAGTTATGCTTTACAGAATTTCATTTTAAGGACGTTAGCACATAAGGAAAATATGAATTTTGATAATTTTGATAATTCATGACAAATTAATAAATAAATAAAGACCTTTAAAATTAGTAATAACTGAAAATATTCATAGTTTCCTTATGTTCCCAGCTTACCCACGTGGAGGCCTCCTTAAGTGTAGAGCCATGATTTGAATTTTGAAACAAAAATATTAAAACCAAAGGACCGAAAGATAAAAAATTAAAAAAAAATTTTAAAAGATTTTTAAAAAACTTAAAGATACTGGATCATTATTCCTAGTCAATCTTTTGTTCATATATAAAACTATTACAGCCAAATGAAAGTAATATACATGAAATAAAATAACATAATAAAAATTTTAGAGAAAGGAATTTACAATTTAATTAGCAACATTTAAAAAAACAATAACACTGGTTGCAATGGCAAAGTTAAGAAATGATTCGGTTCAAACAATATTTATTGGAAGTCTGTTTAGGCAAATGATTTGTGGTACTATGGATCCAGGAAAGTACAATTCTACGGTTTTTGATATAAATAACACACTCCGGAGGAAATATGGTAATTCTCAGAATGTGATATTTTGGAGATGTAGGGGTTTAATGAATTCGAATAAAAACATATGGCATGTCAATGGGATTAGTTTGAACAGAGAGGCAATGGAAATTTTTAGTCGACAGATTCAGCTTGCAATGAAATGTAAAATTACATAAAAGACCTGTGCTTGGAGATGATCAAATAATTTCAGTTATCTTTCAACCAGTTTTTTTTCTTCTGTTTTTTTCTTTTATTTCATATTTGTTGTAATTTAAAGACAATTCAAAATGTAAACAACTGATGTAAAATATTTTTTTTTTCTAAGAAAAGAACATAAAAAAGTTACTTTGAAATAAAATATCTATATATTTGAAAATTGATATGTTATTTTAATTTACTATTTATGTCAGGTATCTTTATTTTCATATTTTGACTTTGATTTATTTTTTGTTCTCTTTGTAACATATAAGTAATTATTATTTTTATTTTTAATTATTATTGTTGCTTTGAACCCTTGAATTTCAAATTTATATCCCTACATTCAGAATTTGTCTAAAAAAAATAAATTCAGTATTTTCATATTTTGAATTTTATTTATTTTTTTGTTCTCTTTGTAACAAATAAGTAATGAATTATCTTTACTATTTTTTTTTTGTTAATGTTGCTTTGAAGATTTTGGATATATTCATATCTCTAAATTCAAATTTTCTCTAAAATATCCTAAATGAAATTTTTTTTTTAAATTATGGCTCTACAAAAAGGAGGCCTCCACGTGGCTAGAGCTGGTAACTTTGGGATAATATGAATAATAATTAATACACAAATTCATATTTCTTAATGGCTAACTTGGGATAATATGAATAATAATTAATACACAAATTCATATTTCTTAATGGCTAACGTCCTTACATTTTTTGTTAAATACATAATTAATATTCTACTATTATCATTGTAAAACAAATATAATTGTGGAAATTATTATGAATTATTTTAATATTATCTATACAATTATATTGACAAACAGCTCGCTTCGAATTTAGATCGGGCGTGGTGTACGGTAAACTCGTAATGGCGCCCGATTTCCGTCGATTCTGAAGTAAAATTGGCTATAAAAATTTACGGATGTCAATATCATTCAATTAAACATCACCTTAGGCCTTATAGTACCCCATTACATTCAATTTTATGGGGTTTCCACCACTTTATTGGGGTTTCACCTCTCCTGTATGGGTATTCTCCAAAAATCGGGGGGTTTCGGGTTTTTCCAGTCACCCAAAAGATAATCGTCAATATTTCAAAAATTCAGTTAAAAACAGAGAAGATGGCAGTGTGTTTTTGGAGAACAAAAAAACTGTGTTACCTATAAAACTTGAAGGCGTTGAGAATTCTGATGAAATGTTCTTTCTCTGCCTGTTCTTCGTCTTTCTTCTCGATTTCGTCCACATCGTCCGCCATGCTGATTTTTTGTACTGAAATTCCGAACCCGACTTTATAAAGTTCACCCAACTTTATTTTTTGGAGGGGGGGGGGGGGGGGGGTCATCGAAAGTATATTTCATTTTCAGTTCATCTTATATAGAATTTATTATAAATAAACAAGTATATTTTAAGGACTTCCTTTTTTAAAAAAAAATTCATGAGGACCTTCCAAGAAGAAGGGACTACATCATTTTTAGATTTTTATTATTTTTTTTTTTTTTTTTTTTTTGCAAATGCTTTATAGCCTTAATTCACAATTCTTAACTTTTTTAAAGCCGGTCCTCGATTTGGCTTTTTTTTTCTAAACTAAGTCATAACTGTTCTTTATAAAATACAAATGATGCAGAATCCGTCCTCTGGGTAACCGCTATAGGACTTTGCCCTGGACCTGCTGCATGTACTGGGGATGTACTTACATGTAACAGAGACATAGATAACATGTTATTTTTGTCTCTGCATGTATGGACCCCTTCACCCAGTGGACTGAGCAGAATACTACGGGAATAGGACTTGGCAAATACTATTTTCTGTATAAGTGGCGACACCTTTTAAGAGACCCTAGGTGAGTTGCCCATAGCAAGGGCAAAGCCCTGGTAGCAATAAGAGTCAGGGGCACGGGGACCGGAAATCTCCCGAAAATTATATATTATCAATTTAGGCGTGAACTCTCACCATATTATCAACCATCCATATTAAATTTAACAAAAATGCAAAAAAAAAAAAAAAAAAAAACGGATTTTGGAAAGAAAAAAGTTAGTTTTGCAAATAAATAATCAGGGCATGCATGTGTAATTTGAAACAACCTTCGTTCAAATGTGTACCATATATCCAAAATAAATTTTATAAATACTAATATTCTATCATCTATTTCGAATTCAACGCGGTTTAATTTTAACAGGGACCTATATACTAGTATAGTAGTAGTTAGTATATAGGTCCCTGATTTTAATATCATGACTGTTTTTCGATATTTCCCTTTTGGCAGTTTATAAAAAGATCTTTCACCGTTACTTCTTGCCCCTCTTCCTCTGGTGAAATATGCCTAAATTAAAATTTTCGAACACGTGCTAGTCTAGATGTTACAATACAGTATTTGTATTATGTATTTGATATGCATCTGGGTTTTTTTTTTTTTTAGTATTTTGGCGCACGGAAAAGAAGTGTCAGATTGAAATACAATTTAGTAATGCTCTTGCTTCCTGAAATTTTGTGAATGTACATAACGTACCTCCATTTTTGTCGTCAAAAACGAAAGCTTCATTTATTTCTATTTTTTCCCTACCGACCCAATTGGGGGGGGGGGGTCTGTAAACCTGTAAACCAAGAATTAAATAAAATAAAATTGGGGCCTAAAAGGAAAATTAAAATCTTCATCTGTTACTAAAATCCATGCCAGGTCATTCTAATTGAATGAGAGACATTAATTCAAACTTGATTGACACCCCCTCTTTAAATGGGACACGAGACAGGGTATAACACACACAACCTCTTTTAATGCATAAGCTACAGCTACAATTACAATGTATGCATTTCAGTGGGGTGGACTGAGAAAGCAGAATAAAATTCTACATCCTCCAAACTAGCTGCAGAACTGTGGAGTTACGGTTTTATATATTTTAGTCTTTGCTCATAAGCGTCAACGACTAAAATATAAAACCATATATAACACTACAGTTTTTCAGCTTCGTCCAAACACAAAACACACAAGACCAAGTACCCACAGCAGGATTTATAAATAATGCCGAGCCAAAGATTTTGATTTCCCCCAAATCAAGTCTATTTTGGGGGCAAAAGACAAATAACTTCCTCTGATAAAAAGGAATCACAATCTTGATAAACAAAATAAATGTGTTTAATGTACATCTCTTCAGATATGCCCCCTTCCCAAATCATTTTCAAAATATAGAGTCTATTTCTCTGTCAACTCCAGTTACATGTATAAGTGAAGGCATCATTGTGTGCAATCAACCTTTTAGTTTTCTATTGAAAAAATATTTGAAATTTACCTGAAATTCCATTTCCATTATTGCTATTTTGAGCAATCAGTGAATCAACACTGTAACTTTGTAGTGTCACTTTGTGTTCTTGTTCAGAATGTACATGTATAAAATCCTTACAGCATTATCAATATTCCCCATTTTGATGCTGCATTTCCTCAAACTTTGTATGTTCATGTATTCACATGATTTGTGAAAACATCTTTAATAAGAAAAGTAATTTTGGAAAACTTTCCTCAATGTAATTTTTATTTCGCTTGGTTTTATTTATCACAAATAGAGCAAATATGATATGAATCTAACAACAATAGCAATATATATTACTAAAACATATCGTCTATCATAAATATATCAGCTGTGCCATATCATCTCATAGTGATATATCAGCAAGACATTATTTGTATCACTTATATAAGTTATATAATACAAGAACACAAAACAATAAATGCACTGATTAATAAGGAAATGTTTGTAACAAACATATATAGAAAATCACATTTGTGCAACACCTTTTTTGCAAGTCAGTGATTTTGTATTTATAAGAGAGACAAAATGTTCAGTATGTAACCTATCATAATTTAAATATGCACGAAAAAATGATTTTCTATATTTCACACCATCTCATGCAACAGCCTAATAATAAAGTAATTTAATCATAGTATCACTTCAATACATGGTAATGTAAACTTTCCCATATAAAATATTCATTTGAACAATAAATAAATAAAACACAATTCTGTTGTTTGCAGATATTGAAGTATAAAGTGCATTAAAACAAATTGCTGTGCTTGAACAATGAACTTTAAGAAATTGCATACATATAACATACAAACCTCTGAAAAACCTATTTACCTAAATTTATACAATGCCATGAGTTACATAAATTTGATGTTTCCTTGTTTCTAGTTGACAAATTTTAAATAATTTGTTATGAATCAGATTTCTTTTTCTAACATAATATTGTAAACATGACAAGTTCATGAAACTTTTTTTTAAATGTTCAATAACACAATTTCATGACTGCACATCTACATGTTGAATCATTTCAAGCAACTGAAATAATAATTTTACATTGTCAAACGATCGCGAAACACTAAAATTTTCACACTGAATGTACATTTTCATATGTATATATTCATATCTAATGACTTGCATAATCAGATACATGTTCAATCTAACTTTAATAAATCACAAAAAATATTTGAAATATGGAATTCAAATAAAGTCAAAAGAAGCTATACCCATATCTTATTTACATGTCAAGACTACAGAGAAATTTTGTCTACTTTCAAATAATTACATTACTCAAAATACAACTAATCTAGTATTTGCATGTAATGATTCATTAAATGAACAGATTCCTAAAAAGACTTGAGTTGTCTCCCTCTTATCACTTCTAATGACATGGATGTGGACAACAATAAATTTAAGCATTTGATTGCTTCATATTTCCATTTATTATACCCTTTCATTATCAATTATTTCTAACACTTTCCAAAGAAAGGGAAATCATATTCCAAAGCCAGTGTAACATTTCCACTTGTGGGAAAGGGGGGTGTAATAAATCATACATTTAAAGAAATATAAAAATAATCATCCAAGTTGATGCGTTATAATGCCATGTTTTAGCTAATTCACTTCAAATTAATTTAAAGTTAAATAACATGAACACCTTTGATGTACTAGCAAACAAACATTTTTGTCAAAAATAAGTTTTATTTTATTTTTTGGAAGTTGGGAGGGAAGTTACGACACTGTGAATCTTGCATTATAATGGATGTTTCTGACTGATGGCAGTCCACTCCTCTAAGTTGGCTTATTACATTGTACTGAAGATAAACAATTTTGGAGTGAGTTAATTGATTGCTTCCTTTGAACATAAATATATGGCAATTCTATGAATCCATTGTTCATGTTCATGTTGACTTCAAAATATTGCTCAACACAGATCAAGTCAGTTCTATCAGATCTGTTCATGTTCACAAGTGCAGTAGAACACATCAGTTCATACTTAGTTCATTTCTTGATTGATTCTCAGAGCATGAAATGAGAACGGTGACTGATTCACAAACTATGAACATGAAAACAGCATATTTCATGACTGGTTCAAAACAGTCCAAGATCATGACTGGTTCAAGATAGTACAAGAACAGTTCTCTTTTGTTCTGTTCACATTCTCTGTGGTTCACAGGTTCATATTTCTGACTCATTATGTTTCATCAAATTTTCAGATGATCAATTCTTTTTCTCAAAGTTTCATATCATATTTCTGGCTCATTATTTCAGATGATCAATTCTATTTGTTCTGTTCACACTTTCACTGGTTCAGTTCATACGTTGGTTCAGTTCATCAGGACGCTGAGAGGGAGAACAGTAAGATCCGTGAAGCGTTGAAGTACATATTAGAGGAGTGATACACCAGGGACCACACGTAGGGGATAAAAAATTCCTCCGGCGATTCCTCCTCTACGTATTTAAACTTCAGATCAGGGAATTTCTGAAAAATATGAAGAGAAATCATTTTTGACAAAACTTAAATTTCAGAACAGGGAATATCTGAAACATAAAAGAGGAATTCTGAACTCCAAATTTAACACCCCCCCCCCCCCCCCCCCCCCGCACTTTTTTTTATTAAAAAAAAAAAAATCAATGTTTAAATTTTAAACCATTTTATAAAAACACTATTCATTGGACATCACAAAATAAATATAGCTTTTACTGCCCTGTCTACAGAAATTATTTTAAACCTCCATTATTTCCTTGATCGGGAGAAGGCAACTGGACAATTTTTAAAGATGGCCTTACACGTTACAGAAAAATAAATATAGCTACAACTACCCTGTCTACAAATTATTTTAAACCTCAATTATTTCCCTGACCGGGAAGAGGCAACTAGACAATTTTTAAAGCTGGCCTTACAGAACTTGTTATTTTTCCTGACCTTGAGTTTGTCCCTCCTGAACTGTACTGAGCCCTCCTTGATGATTTCCAGAACCTCTGTGGGGGACATGCTTCCTCCTTTCTTGTGCTCCTCAACACGAGCTGAGAAGTAGGACAACACCTGTACAAAGCCAAAAGAATCAATTGAGAAAAAGCATCTTCAAAAGATCATCTCATTACTACTGAGTATTTCACAAACTTATTTTCATAAACTTTGTTTAAGCAATAATGCAGTGATTTAGTTGTATGGCAAAAGATAAATTTTTCCCAAATGAAGTTAATAATGTAGAATCTTGTAGATGCTCATTACTGATGTTTCAAGCTACTACCCTAAATAACAAATGCCCCCGTGCCATACAACTCCTCCCATTTTATGTGACCCATCTCTCTCTCTTTACAATATCTATACTGTAAATCAACTTTTCTTCGCATACGAGAAATATCTGTGAGTTTCGAGACCCGCTCTAACTCACAAATATGAATCACAGCAAACCACTTATTAATCAATTGAAAATTATTTGCCATTGATGGATTTCAAACTGACAAATCGTGAATAAAAGATGATGGGAATTATAGATGGTTTAGAGTTTCCCCTCTATATCCATCCTCTCTCTCATTTTTCTGTACAATATCCACATATTTCCTCTCTCTCTCCATAATATCTACATATCTCCTTACAATATCTATATTCTGTAGGATGTCCTGGAAGGTGGGGTGGGTCTTGAAGGAGTTGAACAGCTCCCTCTGGTACAGCAGGGAGTAGACCAGGTGAGGGTTGTGATGGAGTGAGGAGCAGAGACAGGAGTTAATGATCTCCAGGACCATCCTCAATACCTCCTCTAGGACGGCCAGATCCTGCATCTACAACACAGAGATCAAAAAGAGATCAAAACAGAGATCAAAGTCATTAATGACAGATAGAAATTAATGATCTCCAGGACTTCCTCTAAAACAGCCAGATCCTGCATCTACAAACTAGAGATCAACACAGAGATCAAAATCAATACCGTAAATCTGGAAATTTTTACGTCGATTTTATTTTGCGAATTTGGGTCAAAATGGTATTGATTAATTTTTACGTTTCAAAATTTTGCGAATTACCACTGCTTTCTTTACATTTTCTTATTGGTAATTTATTTTTAAGAAGAATATTTTTGCGAATGCAATGAACTCGCTAATTTGCTAAAAATTTGTCTACAGCAAAAATTTCCAGATTTACAGTATTGTGTAAAATCATTCTCAATACCTCCTCAGTTTAGGCAAAATTAAAAAGGCAATGTAAAGAATATGCAATATGCTTTACACTGGCTTGAACAGTATTTGTGATTCTGCAGAATTATGACCCAGTGATAAAAAGTATGTATTATTAGTTACATAGTCTTTAGTGACAGGGTATGGGATGATACCTGGTTAGTAATTTCATACCTGGCGAGGCGGAGTAACTATGTAACGAATTTACCCCACCAATGAAACATTAACGTTTTATCTGTAGTTTATAAATGGTTTTCTCGGCTAAATGCTTCATCACGCTTAAACTGTGCCTATTATGACGTCATGTTTGTGTTTGTGACGTAATACATCGATCGGGTATAGATTTACAACTGACCGGGTATAGGTAATCCACCGCGTTCACGTGACAGACTTCAACAAATCGTAAGCCAGGATTTCACGGAAAAATCAACAGAGGTGGGGTAAACAGTACATCTTGATTTGAAGACGGAATGTGCTATAGTTATAAATACTTACTGCATTTTGCTCCGAGGCCTCGTCTTGCTCTGTTTCTGTGACGGCAGAATCTCGGATGTGCTCCACCACTCTAGCGTGCTTCTTACTCAGCTGTGAGAATAAACTGTAAGCAAAATAGAAAGAATATTACATGTAGTTATGATTGTATTGTAGTGGTACATATGAACTCTTCAGAAACAGGAAGTGCAGACCAAAACAATAAAGGAATTCTGGGACATATTACCTGACCATCCTCTGGGCGACGTAGGGGTGGAGATTGGTGAACTGTGACGACATGTTAGCTAGGGCTGCCAGGCAGTTTGTGTGCAGATATTTGTCCTAATTAAAACAAATCGATAAAATTGTTCATGTACATGTATACAATTTCAAATCAAAGGAAATCTTTAAGAATTCAACTCACTGAGTCCAAGCTCTCGGGACATAAAGTAAGATAAGCTCACTTTTGACCTCAGTCTCACTTTTGCATTATACATGAATATTCCTTTTGCTGAGGTGAGACTGAGATCAAAAGTGAGGTCATCTAAGATTTTATGCTCTTGGAGCCAGAAGTCCCTATACCTATTCAACTAAAGACTGTTCAAGTAAAATAGGATTTATACAAAGCTCTACAGCATCATCATGAACATAACTTTCTAAACAAAAATAACACTCAAATCAATTTCATACCTGGTTTTAGTTTTAAACAAGAGATGTTTGTAAAACACTTATGCCCCCCTCCCTCCAAATTTGAATTTTTTCCAAGTCCAAAAGGGCATAACTCTGTCTACAATGGTGCAATCCTACCCAACACAAAACCTGACCTAGAAATTCAGCTGTATACTAAATTTAATTTCAATATGTGCAACCTCTGTAGAGAAAATGAACTGAAACTGCAAATAAGTGGAATTTTTTTTAAGTCCAAGAGGCATTACTCTGTCAATAAAGTTAGTGCCCCGCCACAGCATGATACGCCCGTCAAATATTGTTCAATAATAATCATAAATTGGTTAGGGTGCAAGAAAATCAGGTAGCCTTGATTAACAGATAGACACAAATTTCAATGATTTAATTTCCATTTCTTATCATGTTTAAAATATTGTACATACATCTCCAAGAGACTTACAGTGTAGGGATTAAATATAACAAATAATACATATCATAT